TTTTTCAAGTTGTAATACTTGAATGAACTCTGCTTCAGCAGGTTCTTCTTGAGCTTCTTTGTATTGGGGAATAATGATATTATCAGACGTTCGTAGGAGTCCATCAATTTGTGGTTTTACTGGTGTTGATGGAATATTTATGATAGGAGGAATTCTATTATAAGTAGTAATAGATTTTCTTGGAGGTTCTGACTCTCGAAAAGAATGAGTACTTGAAGTACCTGAGATGGATGCATTATCCATAATTCTATTATTTGTGGTGAACTGTATTTCAATATTTCCGTCTGTATATTCAATAATTTTGTCTGAGTAGATATTTGTGATGGTTGGTTTTCATTATGGATAGACCATGTTTGGGTAAAACAATATCTGACCATGATATTGTCTTTGGTATAATTGTATTTGATTTTTCCATATTGGTTTGAAAAAATATGGTTTGTCCTCTCGTATCTATTTGGAGTACATTTAGACATAATGTAGTCATTACTTTGTAATAAATTCGATAAACAATGGCTATATTTTGAGAACCCGTCATCATATTAAATCCTTGAGTTTTGAGATTTAAAGATAAAACATTTAAAATATTTGGATCTGTAAGAGATACAGAATAATTTGGAAAACAGTTGAAATATATTGGTCCACTACATAAACTAGATTCAACCCTACCTAGCAGTGAATCAGAAAATCTATTATGCCTAGTATCGCGTAACTAAGATAGAATTATTTAGTCCTAAACGAGTCAAGGGTTTTACAGCTATTTGAATTAATCCTATATGTAAATATTTATAGTTTTTTGTTTTATGGACTTGTAATATCTTTTGAGATAGTAATTGAAAGTCTTCTTGATTATTTGTAACAGAAAGAGTCTCTTCTACTGTTTTAATAGCATATCCGATTTTTAGATCGAATGTGCCTTTCTTATAGACATCTGATATTGGAACTTTCGGTATGTTCCACGTTTGTATTTGGTTTTCAATATCATTAATAATAATTTCCTTAGAGATCTAAAAGTTAATACTAGTTCTTCTATCTTAAGAAACTTAATAAATTATCCATTAAAGAAAGTTGGTCCGAGAATTGAGGTTAGAGACGCTCAGGACACCCAGTCAGTTGACCGCTTAGGCTAGGAGAGCCGCTGAGGTCTAGAAGACGTAAGAGGTAGTCAAGGAGGACTGTCCAGATAACACTCAACCGCAACCTAATAATGGAAAAATTTATTAAGAATCAGACGGATAAAACAACTAGCACAACTAATAGAACTCTAAGGATCAAAAACAAAGAGGAAATTATTATTAATGATATTGAAAAATATATATATATATAGGAAAATACTGAGATTAACCCACTAGCTCATATGTGTTCATATGAACCTCAATGGCCCAAATTGAATCTGGGCCACTCTAACGGTCACGATCTCATTTCGTATTTTAATTCTAATGTTTTTCTACGAATCCAAATTATTTGAAATTTTAGACGTGTATTCTTCATAAATAGAAGAATCTAATAAAAATATATAAAAAAAATTGTAATAAAGAAATTTGATCAAAATACCCCTAAAACGTTTCAGGGGTATTTTGGTCAATTTATTTTTGCGAATTATTTTTAAAATATTTTTATTAGGTGCTCCTTGATGAGAAGAATGGACGCCTAAAATTTCAAGTTATTTGGATTCGTAGAAAAAAAATTAAAATTAAAACACGAAATGAGGTTGTGACCATCAGATCGGCTTAGATTATGTTGGGCTCATATGCTCATATGAGCTAGTGGGGTAATCTCAGTATTTTCTTATATATATATATATATATATATATATATATATACACACACACACAATGCGATAGTTTAATGCCCTAGGAAAGATTACAAATTACAAAAATTTATCCTTGACTACTATGGCCAAAACTTAATTCTTCAGCCAAATTTTCCAAATCTCGTTGAAGCAACGAAGCACACCAAATCAGACCGAATAGTTTGTACAGTGCTTCGCTTTGCTTCGATCTAGGTGAAAACCCAAAGACTTCGGCCGAAGAGAAGCTAAGATAACATTGGTTTGACGGCATTTTAAAAATATAAAAAAATATGAATAAAAGTCTAAAAGATGACATATGTTAGAAAAAGTTGTCCAACTTTGTTTGGCAAATCAAACCCGTTGAAACCAGCAAGTAAGACCAACCAAAGTGTTTGACAGGTTTTTCTACCAAACCTGGTTTTTATTTGGATCAAACCCACCAAGGCACCAATCAATGTTTTGATCAATCAGACAGCCAGTCAATCCGGCCTTGATAACTATCTTACATATATTGATATATACTTGGTGAATGGTGTGAATTCCAGTCCGGTATGAGACATGTTAAGGTGGTTATGTAGGCTTCCAACCTATAGTATTGTGGTTGAGAGCTCTTAATCTCACATACTAGATTACCAACTTAAATACCACACATGCCCATAAAACAGGTCAAAGATGCAATTAGGAGTTCAGAAGTTTGTGAGCCACAAAAGTTCAATTTATTACATAGAAATCAGTAAGCATAAAGTGTTCATGTTCCAAAATCAACCTAGCATGGACATGTGGCTAGTGGAGCAATGCAATATGATGCTTGGCAAAGGCGTTTCAAAATGTCCCAGTGGTTATAACTAGTAATCGCTGGGAGGGAAATCACATTGTTAGAGTTAGCCATGGAGTAGCAGATTTGCCTACTTCCAAAGTACGTATAACACCGATCAAGACATGGGTCAGTGGGTAGGCATTTTCTAAAGCGGAATAAAATCGTGTGCAAACATCATAAAAGCTTCCTCACACACATGCAAGATTCTACACTTCACCATACTAGCTAATATATTGAAGGATCATAATCAAATTCACGATGACTAAACGGAAAGAAAACTGAGAGAGAACTAATAAAGAGATATACAGAACAGCTGGAGCGTCATCCAATATTGATGAGAATAAAATGAACAAGATTTGAAAAGAAATCACCTTATATGCGACTTTAAATCATGTTTATGGACTAACCTGGAGTTCCTCACGATCACTCTCTGTGCCTTGTATCATCAAATGATCCACAGATGGATCAGCAACTCTATTCCATGGCCTCATTGTAAGAATGCCCGCAAATAGAGTATATAAATCCTCCCCTGCACCCAGCTTCACACTATTTTCCTTTATTCCTTTCACATCTGCAAATATAAGAGCCTAGCGTAATAGATAAAGGGTGTGAATAGAATGCAAATAAATGAATCAGCAAGTCTCATAATAACTGAACGTTTCTTTTAGAAAATTTTATAATATTTAAATTATTAGGCCAGATATGCTAAGATGTCAATAGATTTAACAATTACCTTCCATAATGCCGCATAGTTTGATCTTGTGGGGAAATCAAGAGTCTTATATAAGCCATGGTCAAGCAATACTAGTTGTGGTTTTTTCTTGCCTGCTAATAGCCAGATGGGGAAAACATATTCAAATGTGAGACAGCATATATTGAATTTTCCCATTAGATTATCTGCTCAAAAGATGAAATTGCATTATAAATGAGAAGAACTAAACGTACAAGGCATAATTCTATCTCCCACAGAAAATCTAGCTTTAAATATGTCAGTTAACATTTTTGTAAAGACAGTTACTTATCCAACAATTTTATATATCTGTAACTGAATTTTTAACCCTTTTTTTTTCTTTTTATAAAAACTTAGAATCTTGAGACGTGTACCTCAAGACTTGCCTGACAATTGCAAAAAGTCTGTGATGCATGTAGTAAAGTTTTCAAGACAAACTCTGAAAAATATCAACTTTAAAAAATATGCATAAATCAACCGCGGTCTTACCTAGGATGTTTCTTTTGCCTGATGGTGCTGGCCTAACCAGCATGTTTGCGGCATGTGGATCACAATGAACAAATCCATGCTTAAAAATCATTTCCGCAAATACCTGACTAACCTGAAAAGGTCTCACACATAACAAACAAATGATGTAGGAATGTTTCCCACAATAATATACACAACGAAATCAACAATTTCTTTTTACTATTTAAGCAAACAAATGAAGAAGGGAGGAACATGATGAATGATACATGCAATATTATAGAGCTTACCAATTTTGCCACTTCAGTGGGCTGGATTCCTTGCTTACGAATGGCATTCACATCAGTTACTTCAGCAGCATCCATGAATTCCATGGTCAACAGTTTAGAGGTACTCAAGTTCCAGTATATCTTTGGAGCATAGATGTAGTCTGCCATATGAGGAGATAACCTCTTAAAGTTATCCAAACACTTCTCGCTATTCTTGGCCTCATACAAAAAATCTAACTCCTGGTGTCCAGAACTACGACTTGTCAAAATTGCAGCCCAATCAAAGCTGATGTTAAGCCTCTAATCAGTGAGAACTTTGAACACTACCAAACAACTTCACAAGAAGGTGAAGAAAAATGCAGCACAAACTTTACATAAAAGGATACAAACCATGACCTAAACCACAAAACATAACAAATGATCCTAATAGAACTTTATAAATTGATATTACAAAAGCCTTGATGCATACGTATGTAAGTAAAAAAGAACGAAGCCAAAAGCTATAAATAGGATACAAGATGTGTCATATCTACTTATGGTCTAAGTATGTCATTGAAACAAGTAATAAGTATTTTCCTGGGTAACACCAAAGAAATGAATCACTCTGGGGAGTGGAACACTAACAAAATACACACATGAATCACAATAAATTTCATCAAATGACACCCATCACAAAGTCAGTTTTGAACAATTCACTACTGTTCACCATAAATGTGACCTGAACCAACAATCCTAGAAACTCCAAGAAACTAAAAAAATGACACAACCAATCACCTCCTCTGTTATCCTCCTCCACTTCTCTCTTGAAGGTAAAAATAAGTGATAGGGCTATTTCAGATCGCATGAGGCATAGGGCCATAGAGACATAATCCTAAGGGACAATGTCTCCAGTGGTCCTTTACAATAGCTAAATCATGCTGGCATTCGACAATCTTGCTACTACTGTTTTTTTTTTGGTCTTCTCTCTTCTCCCCCATCCATGTATATGTCTCAGTTTACTTATACTTCCAGTAGAACTTGATGTATGCATTACTTCAACAATGAATGATAGTTAAATATAAAAAAAAAGAGACACAAACTAAACAAAGCAAAATAATAAAAATAATAGCAATTAGAAAAGAATAAAGAAAAGGAAATTCATTAACCTCCATTATAATGATCTAGTTCTCTTTCTTGAAGTTGCAATTTCTAGTTTCCATTTTCTTTAATAAAAAGAAAATACATTGCCCTCTATTGAAATTTGCTATGTCGTATTTAATTAAACTGGCTTATTGATCTGATTCATGACATTTAGCAAGTGAGCATCTTGTCCACGAATGAATTGTCATCTACTTGATGACAGGGAAGTGCGATCAATATACCTACATATCTACAAGAACACTTGAAAGCCCCAACACCTCTACCATGCCATGCTAGGATCCTCTCCAAATATAGATCTCAGACATAAACACACTCACTAGTCAGACGCTCACGGTCCTACCTACGAGAGGAGCTCAGACATAAACACACACACTAGTCAGACTCTCATGGCCCTACCTATGAGAGGTTTTCACAACTTCAGTACTACAAATAATGTGCAGACATAGATAAATGTACCAGCCCATATTTTTCGGTGCCTTCAACAACACTCCTATTAGCCTTTGTCCTTAAACAATAAAAATTCTGGCAACTATGCTAATATCCATAAAACACATTCGAAAACACTAACTTTCGCCGCCAGTGAGTGGATTTTCTTAGATATATTAAGAGGAAAGAAGACATTATATATGAAAAAGTAGCAATATCAAACAGTTGGAAAAATAGGAATTACATTATGCTTATTGCACTTGCCTTTGGTACGCTGTCATGGATTTCATCAATCAACCACCTGTAGTACATGGGCAAAACCTCATAATGCACAGAAGATCCACAAAATACGGCAGCAAGTCACATTGCTTCCAATTATGAGAAACTATTGACCAACGTTACCTGTAATCGAATGATGGGAAACACCAGTGAAGAAAATTGACGATTAACCCAACAGTAGCAGAATCTGCAGCAGCTGTGTCCGTCATATGAGTGTGCTGAATCTGTATTAGAAGATAATATCTCAAAAGGATTCCATTTTAAAGTTCAAATATATCGGTGTGTGTGTGGGTGTGTGAGTGTGATGTTTAAGAAGAACAGTGAAGAATCCCACAGAGTATGAAAGCATAGTTACAACCTTCACCGCAACTTTTTTCCCATCATGAGTTCGAGCAGCATGGACTTGTGCAAGAGAAGCACTTGCTAGAGGCACCGGATCAAACTCCTTGAAGACCTGCATAACATAAAAATGGAGGTTGGTTCCAATGAGGAACTTCATAAACACAACTTTGTAATATAAATTAAAATATTTTAAAAATGGAACAAGTTCCAATGTGTAAGCAGATAATCAAAATTCTACCATAACTCTTCCTTCATGCATAATCTAAAAACAATTGAGCAACTGAAACTAGTAATTATCACCAGAAAGAAAGAAGCCTACTTCGTGAGGTGGCCTTCCCAGCTCTTTCATGAATACTGCACAAATTTGCTCGTATGAAGAAATTGGACATTTGTTAAGCATTGAAGTCCTCATAACCTGTACATATTCTTGAGGAACCACGTATTCCTACAAATGAAAATGACATATTTTGTCCATTGAATAGTATAAATGATAATTGTTCAAATCCACATTGCATAATTCTAATGGTGGCTTTCGTTTTCCCAACATTGTCTAGAGGTGGTTTTTACGATTCAATAATTGTTGCTCACTTGTTTCCTCCAGTAAACAATTGAGCAGGAAGTTAAAACTCACACCTTTTATCAATTCACATAGCAATACAAGAAATGAAGGAACACCTTACCAGTTGACTGATGTGCTGCCCAAGCTTAATATATATTCCGCCATTGTGAAAACACAAATCTCGCAGTCTACGTGCACAGCGAGTGTGAACTTCATGTTTGACTTTCAGCCTTTCCAGGCTTCCTTCTGGAAGCCCCCATAATGAATATTCATAATCTGGTAATAGGCATAAGCACCTACAGATGTCAGCAATTTTTAATATGACGATTTATAGCATGAGAAATTTTCATAACAGTCCATGGATAATTTATAATGATAATTAGTCATTACTTATCCAAAAGAGAGATATAATTGTCCATTAAAAATAATCAGAAAATAACCAGCACAAATTCAAGAAGAGAAAAATTATAGAATCAACAAAATCATCCAACATTATCTACTTGTAACAACAGGAACAGATGTATTAAGCTATTTCAAACCATTCAAGATAGGGGTGGCAATTGGGTCGGACAGAGTCCGGGTCCATGTTTTGGACCTAGCGGGTCAGGACCGGGTCCAAATCATTTGGACCCGATCCGGGTCGGGTCCAGGCTCAGCTTGGACCCTATCAAGTCGGGTCGGGGGTCGACCCGACCCAGTATATAATATATAAAATATGTACTTTAGAATATATAAAATAATTTTTAATTCTTTTTAAATTTCTAGAGCTTGGTCCGGGTGGGGTCCCTGGGTCTGGGTCCAAGAGGAATCTAGTCTGGTCGGGACCGGGTCCAAGTGGAACCTAGTCAGGTCGAACGGGACCCGACCCAACCCATTGCCACCCCTAATTCAAGACCATACAACTATATGTTATGCAAGTATGACTTTGTCCATAAAGAATGGCTCATTGGGAAACTTGAAGCTACATGCAATAAGAAAGAATGATTAATGAGGAAAGAGAACCACACGTTCCCATCAATCAGCATCACATTACTTTCACCAAAAATGTGGATAAATAAGACCAAATACCTCTGTAACTTCTATGGTTGAATTATAATGTTTCCATGAGGATTGAGGACAAATGCATAACCATAAGCCCCAACTAGAGAAGTATATCATTTCAACTTCCACCATAAACAAAACAAAACACTGACAGTAGCAAGCAAGAGAGACTTGCTATAGAGAGATTAATTTACAATTCTCAGAAAAGGGAAAGAAAAAAGAAAAAACTGCCAAAATAATATCTTCTTTTGTAACATGGGTACAAGAAACACCCACATAAGAAAAGGGAAATCTATAAACGTGCGCCTGAGAGATTAACTATTTAACATTTGACTTGTTGTCTTTTGATTTAATATTAGAAAACCCATCAAAATACAAATGATAGTGAGTCCAAATAACAGAAAATGGGTAAAATGTTATATAGTTAATAAGTTAGGTATATTTTGTTAAATTTCCCCCAAAAAATACAAATTTTTTACTACAAACGAAAACCATCTGAATTTTACCAGGATGAATAAACCTTGAAATAATTATACTTAACAGGAATAATTAATTTAGAAAGAGAAATTAGTCGACACCATCTCCAACAGCCTAATACCCAAACAGAAATTTAAGAATTTAAACACTATCATCACCACCACAAGAGAAAACTGCCAATAAAAGTCGAGAAACAATTATATTCATCGTCACCATTTTTTTTGTTTGGGTAAATCAGTGGGGGAGAAGGCCCCCTACCCTGTTTTTCCATTAATAATGCTCATCGTCACCATTGATCATCATATAAGTTCCACCCGATTAAGGAGTCTCCTCATAGTTTATCGAGAAACTCGAAAGGTCAAATTCAAATAAGGAGCAAAAATTGCATTAAAGGAGGCATCCTGATCCCCAACTTTGAGGAAAGATGGTAAAACAGAGAGAGAGAGAGAGAGAGGAGTTACCAAAGGCAATGGTGGCAGCTGTGAAGGCATCGAGAATGAGGCGGAAGGGGACAGCAGTGAAAAGCTTGACAGTGGGGGGGATGTTTTCGTTTGAAGAAGAAGCAGCTGCAATGGCTCCTCCACCACCCAATAAAAGAGAACCCGTCATCACCCATTTCCTTCTAGACCCAGAGAGAAACCGAGAAGCCATGAATGAAAGTCGAGGAGCTCTCTCTTTCCCCTTTCCCCCTCTCTCTCTACGGCGTTGGATTCAAATGGTCGAGAAGGAAATTCATGGCCACCGCGTTGGAATAAAGTAATTGAGAAGAAAATTTAGGTGCATGTACCTGTGTCAGAAACTCAGAATACTACATATACATATACCATATAATCAAAGAGATATATATACACCAACACTCCGCCTCAAACACAAACTCAAGATACTTTCCCACAAAACCATTAACAAGAAAATTGAGGTGAATTTGAGAAAGGGAGAGAGGAAATTATAATGAATTTGAGAGAGAGCGCTCTACAAACGCAATTTTTAGAGAGAGAGAGGAGCGCGCTCCAAGATCGCAATTTTTAGAGAGAGAGAGAGAGAGCTCTAAGACTATGAACGCAGTTTTTAGAGGGAAAGAGCGTTCCAAGAACGCAACGCAATTTACAGAGAGAGAAAGAGCTCCACATCTATGGAGGCGGATTTCTAGAGAGAGAGAGAGAGAGAGCGCTCCAAATCTATGAACACGGATTTTTAGTGAGAGAGAAGAGAAAGGGGCATGGCGTTTCCTTGAGTCGTATCGGAGGATGGTCCATAAAACACATGAGCGGTTCGACTGCCCTTTTTTCCATCATTTTTTTTATTCAAAACCCAGAATCTTTGATATTTGGGGATTAAAGGTTTCCATTGGAACTGAAAACCCTAATCTTTGGACCTAGATTTTTGGATTTATTAACGAGACACTTTATTTCCTGATTAGCGTTTTTATTATATTTGTAATTTAAATATCAATATAAATATTTAGAATTTTGGATTTATTAACGAGACACTTTATTTCCTGATTAGCTTTTTTATTATATTTGTAATTTAAATATCAATATAAATATTTATTTTAGGAGGAGATTTGGTGGTGCACGCTGGAACCCTGCTTACCTTATTGTCTTTTTCTTTAGGGCTTGTTAAAGTTAAAAATAAAATTAAAAACTCGTTTTCTATAATAAAGAATAAAGTTTATATAAGGGTGAGGCCCTAAACAATCAAATTACGGAATGCTATAAAAATTCACAAGAAGATGTTTCGATGATGAAAGACCTTCACTTCGATCATCTCAACTTCAAAATTTATGTACATAAGAAAAAATAGATGTTATATTATTGTTTAAGAACATGGGATGAATTGCCTACCGACTGATTCGTATTCGGATTAAAATAATTGATGAACTAAAAGAACAAAGCAATTTTAAACTTTTTTCGTCTATGATGGTTTTTTTTTTTTTAACACTCAGTCAACACAATCAATAATGGTTAACAACATTGTTTTATAATGGTTAACAACATTGTTTTTCTTTTCTTTTTTTTGCTACGGAAAATATAAGTCCGTGTTATATATATCATATAAGACCTAATTGAATCACCGATTCCGGCTAGAAATGAGTATGGTCATGAATGATTGGGATACATATCAACATTTTTTCAAACAGATATCCTAAAGCAACGTGACATGAATTCGCAATCTAATATAAAGACCAAACAGCTCCATTAAACAAACAAAAGTGAGGATAAGATTTGACAACTTTACCTAGTGCAAGTAGAATTTCATCTATCTACATTATTCATTTTAATTGGATGGTATAAATTCAATATTTTTTTAAAAAAAATATTAAATTTTGATATTATCTGTGTCAAATATATATTACCTAACAAAAATAGAAGGTATAGAATACCACAATCTTAGTTGTATGCTTTAAAGCAAAGTTGTAAATTTGTTTGACTACTCGGTCCAATTCCGGAGTACTTGGGCCGAGTACTCAAGCTCACCACCTTGGCGCGAGTTTCCCTCAAGGTAGGTCTCTTGGTTGGGGATATAAAAAAATTCAAAAAAATCATAAAAAAAATAAAGATTTGTTTGTGATATTTTTTTTATGTTTTATATCATTTTAATAAAGATTAGACAGTATTTTGGTGAAGAATATTTATTTTTACATTCTCCCATTTTTTTTGGATTATTTTGAAAAATACCCTCAATTACAAAATGATTTTTCAAAATCCATATTTTACTACTTTTATAACCTAATTTAGATGTCTTTTGTTTAATCTTACTTTAATATATATTTTCACTTTTTTTATTTTTTTAACAATTTTTTGCTGCTCCAGTACCCGGTCCGAGTGAGGCATGGGCCGAGTACTCGGCCCAAGTCATGGTTTTGAACACTGGTTGTAACAGTGTTTAGGCCGTTTTAGAAAAGAAGATTTTCACAACCAATTTTTGGGCAAGCATGACGAGGTAGGTGTTCGGATAAATTGGCATGAACTAGTTGCAATAGTGTTTGGAAACCAGACCGGTGGGTTGGATGATCATCCACCCCACATATCTATGTCAGATCGATTATCCAAATTGACTATCCAAAAAAACATAAAGCAAAAAAAAAGTAAAAAATAAAACAAAAGTTCATCTATATTTATTAAATAAGTTTATATATATATATATATATATATATATAAAAGGGGGTTTCCGGAGGCGATCGACCTATTACGAAAACCCATCCCAAAACCGATACATTCTTGGCTGGTTCCTAATTCAGATCGGTGGGTTTTAAAACACTAGTCACCACTGTAGAATTCTAATTTTAATAGCTCATTTGCAGCAGTTATAATCAATTATTTGTTTGCTTTTATAGCCCATTTGAAAGCAGTTATCAGTGCACTTACTTTTTCTTTTCTTTTCTTTTTTTAACGGGGGAGTATAGTAGTAGAAATCAACTTGAGATGAAATATAATCACATCATGATTACAATATGTCAAACAAACAAACAAAAATTTTTCTTTTCTTTCCGAATAATTTTGTACCATTTCAACAAAATTTTGTTGATAGCCTAGGCTAAGTTCGTTCGGCCCTAGTGAACGAAGCTAGGGCAATTTTCACTATTAAATTGGTGGGTAAAAAATTGGGGGTTTTTTCAGTCTTTAAGTTGGTCGGTGAAAATAAGGGGTGACTCTTAAAAAACGGTGGTTAGTATACGGCTAAGGCCCTAAACAATCAAAGCAAGGTGCACCACATCAAAAAATGTCGTTTGGTATTGGAATTATTCGCAATGGCCTGAAAGTTTATTTTTATCTTTAATTATAATATTTAAAGCTCCAAAAATAATGTAGAAAAACACATCTATAAACACTAGAAAATTGACAGTCTATTTTGTACAAAAAAAAGTGTTAAAAAGATGAGGAACACAGGAGTACATCATAGCTTTAAGATAAATTTAATGTCCCTTGAAAGAGAAAAATAATGAACGGAAAATAAGGCTGAAAATTGAGGGTCTATTTTCCCTTACTTTTTTTTTATACTCCTGGTTGGTTGGAGGTGTAGACTTTTGAATTCAATTCTATCCATAGGATTTAAATTGAGGGTCTATAAGATATTTTTCCTTTTTTTTATACTGATGGTTGAAGGTGTGGACTTTTGAATTCAAATCCATCCATAGGGACTTTGGGAAAGTAGACTGTTCTCCACTTCTTAAAAAATGCCCTCCACTTGCCTTTCTTCAAGTATCATTGCCATATAATTGTGAAATCTCAGAAACTTGGATGAAGTTTCTATAAGGTCCGGGCTTTATGAAACACAAAATAAAGCCTCAACTCAAATCCTTGTTCGGAAAGCACTTTCGTCAATAAAAAACATCATGATTGCTCTAAAATCAATTTCCAACATCAAAATGAAATTTGCAACTCAAAAAATGATACAGATCTCGCAAATCTATGAATACGTATTTTTAGGGAGAAATAGATGGCCTAGACAATTTGTTACAAAATACATTATTTTTAGAGCTTGAAATCCTATTTTTTGTTACAACCATAATGTTCAAGCCAATATGATAGATCTAAAGATTTTTAGTGCTTGAATTGCAATTTTCAATCAGTTATGAGATGAGGCTTTACTTATTTTGATATGGCCGCAACCCTATCAAACCATTTTTCTATAAACTTTTATTAAAAACCAAAAAGTTTGATACAATAAGGTCACAATCATCATTGACCATTAGATTTGAAATCGGATGGTTGAAGATGTGTCAGTCTTTGGCACAAAGTCCAAAACAAAAATTCTCTAGTGTTGTAACACACTTTCATCTATTGGATTTCGCTAAAAGTCATTGTGAACTCCTTGTACAAAAAATAAACGATCTCATCATATACACTCCCAACCAAAAAGACACACACACACACATATATATATATATATATATATATATATATATATAGAGAGAGAGAGAGAGAGAGAGAGAGAACATTCAACCTAAAAGACATTCATGAGCAAGGCCATGGACCAAGTCAATCAATATATATACTAAGAAAACTATAATATACGACCATTTATTTTTAGTACAAGACACGGACAATCAATCGTAATTGTTGGATGTGAAATCAATAAACTAGGACAATCCTATTGACTAGACTCATAGTTCAAAATAAAATTTTTGAACTTTGACACGTCCCAAGAGTCAAATTTCACATCTAACGGTCATGGGTGATTGGAACCTTCTTGTACAAAAGGTAAATGGCCTACTGCATACGATCCCAATCAATTAACCACCAGTTAAAAATCTAGGCCAAAAAACAAAAAATAAGAGAAAACGATAAAGGAGGGGGAATACAAGATCGAGAATTCTCCTCCTCAACTACATTAAGGTAATATTGTACACCAAAGTCATAATATAGACACCAAACTCATTATTTTGCTCCAATCACAAAGATCCGTACCGGTAAAGTTGGATAGAAGCAGATCATCGTCATCCCGACCGTATCCCACCCATGAATGTCCGTGGATCAGGGCAAGTTCCTGTAAACTGCGCCTGTGAAAAATCGAAACCTGGGTTCTACAAAACCGATAATTTGAATTTAGAATCAGATAAGAAATCTATGGAGGGATGGTATAATTTCACTCTGTGTCAGTAGTTTATAATAACATTTATTCATTTAGACAAAAATCAGTCTCAGATTTTCAATTTATCACTCAGTCATAAACGCTTGCATGGGTTTCCAGCTTAAATCTGCCATATTAAATGTCCCCAAGTTCTGACAATTGAAGTCAGGTTATAAAATTGCCTTCAAAGGATAAAAGCCTCCATTAAGGTCACACACAACACGCACTTTTTTTTTTGGGTAGCACTGTTCACCTTTCACGTACACTTAAAACTCTTAAAAGCTAAGAGCGCTGGTTATGATGCAAAGAGAATCCAGATCTCATGCAACCATTCTTAGTTCAAACATGAACAGCTTCTGATGCACTTAAGAGCAGTAACATCAGAATCAATGCATCTTCTCTGGCAACTCACTTTGACAGATGCAGGACGTAAAATTACTACTCAAGGCAAAATCTAGGCCATTGCACTTTAGGTTGTGCAAATGGGATTCAGATGAGCAGTTCCTCATCACCCTACAGAGACCCACCCACTAGTGAAGATGGGAAACAAGCACATACCTCTTGTCAATAGTCACTCTTTTCACATAATTGGTATAACCAATGTATCACACCTGCATGCACTTAAACACGCACACAAAGACACATGCACACATGCACATGCACACACACATTCTATGGATATGTTGTTTACACACATACACACATTCTGCGGATATGTTGTTTTTTGACTGCCCAACAATTTTTTTTTGTTTTAGGTATGAGAGGATCACATAAGAGTTTTTTTTAATAAAATAATTATAAAAAGAAGACTCCAAAAATTGACAATGTCCCCACTTTGCGAGGATCACATAAGACTCCAGAAGCGCATATCCACTTTGTCCCCCCAACTCTAATACTACAAGCAACATCTTCCTCAATCTCTCCTTTCTCATTACTTACTGACCCAAGATATTGAAAATAATCTTTTTTAGGAACTTCTTGGCCATCAATTGTAATTCACTCCTCATTTCTACCACTATTATTAATAAACTTACGTTCCATATATTTTATCTTGGTCTGGCTAATTTTAAGATCTTTAACTTCTAAAGCATCTCTCCAATATAAATCTATTCGAGAGAATTTAGGCATGGCACCAATAGGCGATAAAATGAGAGAGAGTAAACTTAAGTGGGGTGGCCATGTGTGGCACCGACCAAGAACAACACCTGTTCGGTTGTACGAGTGAGATCAAGTGGAAGGACTGAAAAGGGCAAGGGGTAGGTCCAAAAGGATGTGGTTGGAAGTAATCCGAAAAGATATGGGGACTTATGACCTTACTGAGGATTATGGCCATTTATAGAGCAGAATGGAGAACTAGGATTCATGTAGCCGACCCCAAATAATTGGAAAAAGGCTAAAATGATGATGATGAACTTCTAAAGCATCTCTAAAAAATTTTAACTTTACATTTACACAGTCTCTAGTCTCATCAATCTAAATTATGTCATCCGCAAACAATATACACCAAGGGACCCCATCGTATACATGCTAGTTAACTTGTCCACAACCAAAACGAAGAAATATGGGCTCAATGCTAACCCCTGATGTAGACCTACTATCACTAAAAACTCAGTTGTCTACCTCATCTTAGTTAGCGCTCCCTCATACATATCCCTAACTATATCAATATATCCTCTTGAGACTCTTTTTTTTCCCAACACCTACAAATTATCTCTTTAAGTACCCTATTGTATGCTTTCTTTAAATCAATAAAGACCATATAAAAGTCTTTTTTTATTCTATCTTAGCTTCTTAATCAATTGCCTCAATAGGAAAACAGTCTCAATGGTTGACCTCCCTGGCATAAATCCAAACGGATTTTCTAATACACTCATTCCATGTCTTAGTCGTTGCTCACTTTGTCCCACAAATTTCATAGTGTGAATCATAAGCCCTCGATAATTTGTACAACGTTGTATGTCTTCTTTCTTGTATGTACCACAATGCTTTTCCTTCATTCCTCTAGTACTTTCTTTGCACTCAAAATCTTGTTGAATAGCTTAGTCAACCAAAATAAGCCAATCTCTCCCATGCACTACCAAACCTCCATTGGTATCCCATATGTTTCTAAAGCATTTTCTGTATTAATATGTTTCAAAACTTCTTTCATTTCAGATATCCTAATCCTACAAAAGTATCTATAACTATAACCTCCAATCTCATGTATGTCAATGGTTCCTCCTAACGCTAACCCCCAGAGTAGTTGTCTCTCATGTATGTCAATGGTTCCTCCTAACGCTAATCCCCAGAGTAGTCGTCATTTAACAATTTCTGAAAATAGATTCTCCACCTTTTAATGACTTCAACATCATTCACCAATACCCTTTGATCCTCACTCTTAATGTGTTTGACATGATCTAGGACCCTACACTTCCTCTCTCATTTTTACTAGTTCGAAGACATCTATTTCACCTGCTCTTGTCTCCCAATTTATTGTATATATCGTCGTATGCCTTAACCTTACCTTACCATTTCATTAGAGTTCCTTTTGACATTTCTATATTTTTCTAAATTCTGATAATTTCTATTTCCTTAGCAAACTTTGTAATATGATCGTTTTTCGCTAATAGTGTTTTGAACCTCATCATTCCACCACTAAGTTTCCTCATTTGAAAGTTTTTTCTCTTTAGATTCTCCTAATACTTCTTTTGCCACTTTCTCAATCCAATTACGTATCTTGTTCCACATAACATTAACTTCATCCCAAAAATTCTATTTTCCTTCTTTCATCAATTTACTCTTAAATAAGTCTATTTTCTCCCTTTTAAGTTTCCACCACCTAGTTGTTGGACACCCATTAATGTCAATCCTCTTCCATCTCTTAATGGAGACATCCATAATCATGAGCTTATGTTTCACAGTCAAACTATCTCCTGAGATAACCTTACAGTATTTACATGATGATTGTTTTGCCTTTTTAACTAGGAAAATGTAGATTTGGCTTTTATATGATCCAGTTTTGTAAGTATAATAATTTTACATATAATAAATAAAAATAAATATGAAAATATTAAACTTGAAAAATAAATCTATTTTATGTAAGATGACAAATTGCTTGTTTATATATTATATTTTCAAGTGATTCTTTAAAAAATTCTAATTAACATGTTTTTGTTTTTTGAAATATAATTAATGTGTTTTTATTAAGGTGTTTTTCTAATAAATAACTATATTTATAGTATATAATTAATTATTTACTCGTAATAAACTTCGCTTAGTGGTAGACCAAATGATTTTTTAACAACTTTTTTTTTTGATGCTGCTAACATTGTATTGATGGATTAAAGAGGAGTACAACGCAAAACGTCACCGAGACACGTGACCAAAATTTATTTTCGATCCTCGAACGTCATGGGAGAACAAATGCGACCAAAACATCAACAAGGATCAATATTTCTTTTAACAACTTTTGATTAAGGCATGTTCTTTATTAAGGTATTTTTCTATTAAATAACTATATATTTATAATATATAATTAATTGTTTACTCATAGTAAATAACTATATTTATATTATATACTTATTTATTTACTCATAGTGTACATGTATGTTTGCTTTGCTTAATGGCAGCCCCAAATAATTCTTTGAAAACTTTTGATTGAGGCATTTTTTATTAAGGAACTTTCCTAGTAAATAACTATATTTATAGCATATAATTAATTATTTACTCATAGTAAATAACTATATATTATATAATTAATTATTTACTCATAGTGTACATGTGCGTGTAATATGCTGAATGGTAGCCCCTACCATCCAACCTTTAACACCTCAGATATTTCAATCTTGGCCCATGTGGTTATGTTTTAAAAACACACTTTAAAAAAGAAGGCACTCAATGGGATTTGATATGGAGACCTCTTATGGTAAAAGAGTCTACTCTACCGTCAAAGATGAGAAGCCTTATATGTAAAAATTGTGTTAACTATAAAGTGTTGATCCATACTAAAAACCAATAAAATCACCTGATACATATGGTTGTCATGTTAGGCCCGTATCTATGAACGTCAACATGTGTCTAAGTGTCGACACATGATACCAACGCTCATGTTAAGTGTCTAAGTAACACTGTGTTTAGGACCATCTTAGTCTTCTGTTATGAATTAGTGGTCCAGGTAAGGTTTGGTCAGATCCTATGCTAGAATCATTCATGAGGCATATTACTCCCTAAAGGGTAACGACCTTCCCCACAAGGAGCAGCCAATAATTTTGGAATTATTCATGCTGCTTTGCTAGAAGCAATCAGTGACTGGCAGCCTTGAAAGGCTCCAGAGATAATTTTGGAGAAGCCATGAGGATGAAGGACCTCGCTTTCACTTGGCATCCTCCTGGAATATTACAAGACCTTCTTTAGTTTTTTTTTCTTTCTTTCTTTTGAGAATGTTAACTGTTGTATTGAGTAAAGAGTATACAAAAAGATGTGCATCCCCAAAAGGAGAGCAGCTGTATAACGAGATTCCCATTAAGGGGTCCAAAAAGTGCTATACATCCCAAAGAATAGAGAAACAGATCATTGAACGAAAAAACAGGTCTCCAGTGCTGGAGAAGGTGGGTAAGAGATCCTTGGGGATGCTGTAAAGAGGCACCCTGCTTGGCAGGGCGTCTGCTGTGTCGTTCGCTTCTGTCTAAGTGTGTCTCCAAACCATGTGTAGGTCTCTAGTGAGATGAAAGATCTCATCGAAAAAGTGGTCTAGGCACCAACGAAAGGGGAGGTCCTAGAAGCCCAGGTTATGATGTTCTTCGAGTCCCCTTCCACGATCAAAGTAGGGCCCCAGGAAAGGTTGAAGTGGCGTAGTCCCTCAAGGAGGGCAGTTGCCTCCGCCATATCAGAATTGGTGTTGCCAATGAAACAAGAGAAAGCGAACAGTGTGGTACCATCCTGGTCTCTAAAAATGCCTCCAATCCCTGAAGGCCCTGGGTACCGTCAAAGTTGAACTTAACCTGTCCCAACTCAGGTGGCCTCCAAAGAGAGGCTCGGGGAATGCAAGGAGTTCTGAGATATAACAGGTTTTGCCAACTGGTAAGGAAGTCCGAGAGAGAAATGTTGGAACACAACGTTGTTTTTGGCCCAGAAGTGGTTTGATTTTCTCGCAAAGGGTGTCGATGGAAGCTCTCTCCCACCAGAAGATGTATTGTTTCTTTCCAACAATAAGACCCAAAGTGTGGATGCCACAGAAGCATGCCAAAGGAGGATGCCAGATTTCGACCATGGAGGTGAAAGGCAAGTTCTGAAAAGTTGTCGGATGGTGAGGGGGGTCACCCAGGACCACCTGGAGAGCTGTAGAAAGTCGCTCCAAAGAGAACTCACAACCTCGCAATGGATGAATAGGTGGGGCTTGGTTTCTTCCTCGCCGGAACACATAATGCGCCGGTTAGGTAAGGGCAGGCCCCTTCTTTGGAGCTGATCCAGCATAAGGCCTCTCTTGGATGAGGCCACCCAGCTGAAGAATTGGATTTTAGGGGATATGAGAGACCGCCAAGCCTTCGCTGCAATTGAATGGGGCGGGGGAGGCAAAGAGGAGGGGTATTGAAGAGTGCGGTAAAGGAAGAGACTGAGAAAGTACCTGATGGGCCCAGGGACAGGAAAATGGATTGTAGAAGGGAGGAGAGGGCTAGGAATTGAGGTAGCTCTGTGTCTGTGAGAGGTCCCCTAAATGCAGAGTTCCACACACTATTATGACCTTCTTTAGCTTTACGAGGTGTCTTTCTCCCATGAGAGGAGAGTGCCCACTATTTTCTCTTGTAACCATTCCCCATCCCTCATTGTTACCATGCCAGCTTTGGTGGTTGAGAGTAAGCTCCATAGGAATTTATAGCCAAATGGCAAGAGTGAATATTCATAGGTAAAGATTAAAGAAACAGCATTAATTCCTTGAAAGAAGCAAATGTTATCATTCCTACACCAATCATACCCTAATAACCAAACAAACAGGATCAGAAGAATGGTCGTTGGTAAAGTTTATGTTAAAATCTAATAAGGCCAGTTGTGCTACCGTTTTCTTCAATAAAAAAATTTCATTGATTACAATTCTACAAAAGAACTGAGTTGAAGTTGAACCATCTACAAACCAGAAATTGCAAACATAGAAGCTTACAAGTTAAACTGAAATTCAAGGACACAAAAACGACTTGGTAGAACTTTTTATAGCTAACAAGTCACTAGTATCACTTATTCCTAAGGAAATTTCATTAACAGTTTAAAATATCATAAAATATAGAAAACCATATCAAATTTTTTATTTTTCATCTGAATGGAAAAAAGACTAACTGCAACCAAAACTGAGGCAACTGGTGTGCAAGTCTTAGATATCAAGGCAGGCTATTTCTTTCTGTCTTTCGTTTTTCTTCTTTCATTAATAGGTCTCATGGCAGAGGTTACATTGCTGATGTACACCCTTGTAATGAGGAGAGTGCATATGCAATACACAAGTTTTCAGGATACAGGTGTAAAATGATCATTCTGATTAAAATGCACGATCGTTATGACTTTCTGTCTTTGCTAACTCTCAAGGGCAGAAACCCAAGATATCTCCTAACACATCTATCAGATTTTCCCTATGTCAGATCCATTAATGGCACATGCCGATATAGTAGTGGCAGTAGCATAAACCTAAAACTCTTGATGAAACCAATTCTACTTTCATTTAAGACAAGAAACCACAAATCAAAAGAAATATGTGAATTTAATGTTGGCAAAAAGGAAAGATGATATTAAGAAAAATATAGATCACGATAGCATGACACTACTTTCAAATAATTTTCGTGCATAACCTCCACTCGCGATACACAACAATACTGGAGAAGCATGTAAAGGAAACGTACCACAATTCAAATGTCGGAACAAGAAAAGCAGAAAACAAATAAGAATATTTATGGAATATCATTTCATAATTCTATATGAAATTCTAGATCGTGCTAACATTTACAAACCAACTTGGCCGTTGATTACAAAAGCTGTGGTAAGTCAAAGATCACCTCTTCTTGGAACCTTTGTAGCATAAGGCGTTTCTGCTCCTCATCTACAGAATAAGGATCAAGTTCACCCTGGCCAAGTATAGGAGAAGGCCATGTCTGTCCTTTATCTCTCTTTTGCAAGGTTATGTGCATGGTTCCATCCTCTGTTGTAGTGAATGATAAAATGAAGATGACAGAAAATTTCAAGAGAAGAAAACAATGAGTTGATGCCATTCTTGGGGAAGTTTGACAAAATTAAAACAAACCCCAAATTAGAGAACATTTTTACCAGCGGGAAAATTATAACAAGACCATAAAATGAAGCGATGCAAGCCAAGGACTAAGTTTCAGTTTCAGAATAGATTTTGTAATATTTATTCTCTCAAAATGTCAAATGTTTTCTCTGACATTTTGACAAACTTCTACCAAATTTGTCACAACCATGTTGGCCACATTCCATCCACAAACAAGAATTGGGGTGTCACAACCAGGCGTTCCAGATTTTATGGCAAATAGCAATCAAACCCAGAGTTCAGAAGAACTAACAAAAAAAACATAATAATATCAAAACAATAGTACAAATGAATCATATGCTTTGAAGTGAGAATTGGGCAGAGCTATGCAAACCTAAAGTCCAGAATGATGAGTCGACCTTCACAGGAGAGGCAACGTCATGCTGAAAACCAGGAAAAACAGTGAAATCAACAATGAAGAGAATTCAACAAAATTAAGAGAAGTAAGCAGATTGCAAATTATAAACCACCCCATCAAAAAAATTCTCAAAAAAATCAAAATAAAAGAAGGAATATCCTTACATTAAGATAGGGAGGGTTTCCTTTGATCCCAACTTCAAGATGTTTTGGCTGAACATTGCAGAAAAAGAGCTTGGTTGGAACACCTTGTGGAAGTGATATGTAAATGTTAACCTCCTCAAGCGTCTGATCCCATTCAAACACCTTCTGCCCTGCATCAATAAAATACAGTAAATCAAATAACAAGAATGATTACAACCCAATTGGATTCATAAACCCTTAACAAAAAAAAGAAAAAAACAGAAAAATAAATAATAATAGAGAGAGAGAGAGAGAGAGAGAGAGAGAGTGGAAACCCAATTGGAATAATAAATACATCGGAAATAAAGAAAAAAAAAAAAAGCAAGAATGAAGCACGTTTTTCTTCTGGAGAAAAAAGAGTAAAAGGACCAATTGGATCCATAAAACCTAACAAAAAAAGGACCAGCAAATGCAGCACTAAAATAGCTGATTGATAGAATCCTTAACCTTACAAATGCAGAGAAGTTTCATTCATGTAAACGAGACTAAAACGAAGAAGTTCCTAACCAGAAAACCTAATCAAAATGCGAAATACCCAATTCTAATATAAATTCAGTCAAAACAGGAGGGGGAGAGAGAGAGAGAGAGCAAGTTGGGGTTGGACAAACCGCGGTGAACAAAGCTGTGACGCTTCTCGGGTGCCAATTTCTCCGCCATTAAGATGAACTCTCCCCTCTCTCTCTCTCTATCTCTCGCTAGGAAACAATGCAGGGTCTAAGCGCCAAGGAATTGAATTCGGAAGTATATAACCGGTAATGAACCGGACGACCGGAGCGCAATGGACCCGACCTGACTCGGGACTCAATGCTATATAACCCGATCCGGGTCTCGGTATAGATCCAAAAATTTGACCCGGCAGGTGAGGTCCAGGTCCGGGTTCCTTTTTGGGTCCGGGTCCAGCCGAGCCTCCGCTTTGTTACCCCTGCAGCACTTTGCTTATGCGGCTTGGCCTTGAAACAAATTTTTATGGGCCTACCTACATGCAAATAGTTAGACATTTTTGTCTTTAAAATTTGTCTAAAGAGGCATTTTTAGTTTTAGAAACTTTGACTTTGAAAATCTATTTTTATTTAATTATAAAATTTATAATAGTATAAATTGAATAGATCTATAGACACTTAAAAATTTTAAAAATAAATAATTACAAGATATATTATTTTTAGTACTTAAAATTCTTTTTCTTCATATCCACGCGTCTTAAGGTGTCTTGAGGTCAATATGATCAAATTGGATGACACCTTATCAAATTGCTTTAATAATATAAGGTTGACACCTTATATAAACGTATTTCACGAAAAGTATTAAAATAAGGTCTAGATCTTTATGGAAAAAAGTAAAGCTACACTTCAAATCTCACTAGAAATTATAATTCTGGTATAGAAAAGCCCTCAAATTGAACATCTAGATCTTGACCATTATAGATGTGAAAAGACAAAAAATGGTTCCAAGTACTAAAAGTAGCTTATTTTGTAACACATTATATGAACAGTCCATTTTCAAGTGATCAAATATCTGTAAAATTTGTAGTATTTTTTTAGTTTCAAAAATTATAATTAGAGGTAAAATAAATTTTGAGCCATCATGGGATTTTCAATGCCAAAGTTGCATTTACCATCAAGGTTTTGAGACTAAATTGAAAACCGATTAAACGATCAATTTTAAAATAATTTTAAATTCGTGAAATATGACAAAAACTCTTAGTGTTTTCAAACTTTTTCAAAAATTTATGTCTTTTTATGGCTTGTTATAGAAATTTAGTTTTACCTTTTTTGTCTTCATCTTCAAACTTTCTTGAAACTTCTGAATTTTCGTTTTGAGATAGGTTAGATCAAGAACTTTTATTTATGATTTTTTTTTCAAAAATTAACATCATATTCCAATACAAATATATTCCCCAAAAAAAGTGAATTCCTGAAAAAATAGTTACCAGAGTATTTTAGCTAAACTATTGTCCCAAGAAAAAAAATCATTTATGTAAGAAATTGAGAGGCAAGGGATTAATGGCCCTATAATTATTATTATTTTTTCTCTATACCAAGGGCACTGATGCAAAGAGGAAGCTAGAGTGATTCAGACACAGCTAAGGATTCAAACAACTAACAATTAAGGATGAGGTTCATGATAATAAGTTTTAATCGCGCATTTGTTGGGTTTTTGTTATTTCAGTGTTGTATACAACACATCATTTAGATGGACCAATGTTTCATATTTTCTAAGTTTTGTTTAATACAATCCGATACAAAGGTTATGTTCTTATATCTTAGGTGGTTGTTATTGTTGTTGTTGTTGTTATTTGTTGATATAATTAATGAGTGTGTTCAATACATTGTTTTGGGTGAATCAGTAGAGATATTGAGTCCCTGACCATTTTATTAAAAAACAATAGAGGTTTTACATAAACACGTCTTATACAACCTTTGGCAAGGAATCAGATTAAATATAAGGCATTACAAAATCAGGGGGGGGGGTCATTTACCGCTGCCTTGGCCAAAGAATCTGCAGCCAGATTCCCCTCCCTATAGGCATGTTGAGCCTTCCATTGTTGGTTAACGAAAAATGGAAACTTGGATATACTATTAGCCAAAATTAAATGCAATCTCCAAGGAGGTCTGTAAGGCCGATTCAAGGAGTTTAGAGTCACACTCAATGACAAGTGGTACACAATTAAGTTCCATCGTCAATGAAATGCCCCTCTCAAATGCATAGAATTCAACTGTGTTCGATACAATGTTGTTGTTGCTTATTATGTCTTCCCAATAACATCATTGCATGGTTTATATATCATGTCAACAAAGGAAGCACTGCCCATTATTGGGTTTAGTGTGAAAATAGACAAAAAAAAAATTGTCAAATAGGACCCTGAATGCTTCCAACTCATGACATACAATTTTTGTTCAAATAACTTTATATTATCGTCACAATAACAACAAATCATAAATTTGTTCTAATTATTCAATGATTATATCGAATTCATGTAATAATTTAAGCTAAGCTAGGCTTCTTCGCTTCCATTAATTTTCAATCGATACATTATTTCTTCAAATTCTTTTATGTAATTAGAATTTGTGGTTCTACTAATGTTTTCGGGTTTGTTTGTGCCTCAGCTAATGAAACTAAGGTCTAAAATTGATGACCCTTTCTCCAAACAATGTTTTTGTTGAAGGGGAGTTGCTTTTCCTGAAATGTCATTAGATGGTGCACAGGTAGTGAAAGAGTCTTATGATGTCTTAAACCAACATTTTCGGAAATTAAGGACCTAATTAATTTAAGAGAGATCCAATTCAATCATGTTTACCGAGAAGCAAATGGCGAGGCCGATAGCTTTGCGAAGGCCGGATGGTATATCCGACACAATTCGTAGTAGTGTTGCATGAAAAGAAAAAGGATGGTCTAAAAAAAGTGGGTGACAAAACGTAGTGCTATTCATTGGGAGAGAAAGTGGCCTCATGGAAATAATTTGTATGATGGAGAAAGAAAAAAATTACCATGGAAAAAAATGAGTGTCGAAAAACAATGCCAATCACAAAGAAAGACAAAAATCTCATGGAAATAATTTGTACTTTTTTTTGGTTGGCAAAGAAGTATTATAAAGGGTGCAGCTTGCATAAGGCGACAATCTTTCTTTGTAAAAGTAAGGCTGTAATGTCTTTTGCCGTCCAATTTAGTTGAATGGTGTACCATTTGCACATTTTTTAAGATAATGTCATAAAATGGTATATTTTTTAAGATAGTTAAATTTATACCATTTATATAAAATGAATAGTATAGATTACTACAATCTTAGTTCTATAAGTAATAATGCAACATTATATAAAGGGTGTGGTTTTTATAAGGTTGCAACCTTAAACCATCCAATTAAGGCGTAGCTCCAAATTTTATCATAACATGTAATTTTGGTGTAAACAATTATTGGTATTATCTCCAAAATTATTTTCATATTTAATTACAAAATTTTAAACTCCAAAAATGGTTAAAATGACGTAGATATATAAACATATGAAAATCTTTAAAATTGATGGTTTAGAAAATGTGTTGTAAGATGCATTATTTATGAGACTCGAAATATATATATATTTTCATATTCATACATATCAATGTTGATACGATCAATTAGAGGGTTTGCCAACATTAAAACAACCTTTCCCAGTAAATATTTTAGGTGCATCTTTAATTCTACGTTTTAAAGTTGCAACGTCATATAAACTTTTTCCTTATATAAATGTTTCCTATCAGAAAAGATAAATGTTTTTATGCTTCCCCTACAACATAGAATTTCTATCCTCCCCCTACCATCCAGCTGTCCAATTTTGATCAAGAGAGCCACTCACCGTTTGATCTTAGATTCGATGTCTCAAAGTATTTTATTTTTAGTTTTTTTTATACAAATTGTATGAATATGAAATTTATTACGTGCCATATTCTCATTGGGGTGCACCTATAAAAAAAATATTAAAAATAATTTTTGATAAAATATAATGACAAAAATACCCCTTAAAATTTTCAAGGGTATTTTGGTCATTTTATTTTAGTAAAAATATTTTTTTTATATTTTTCGCTAGTGAGAATTTAATAGAGGAATGGACATCCAAAATTTGGTGTCAAAATAGTTTGTAGAACAAAATTTTTAAAAAAATAATATAGAGATGTGACATTGTGATTGGGGCAATCTTAGCCCTTCATTTAGAATGGACGATTGGATAAGGGGGATGATAGAACTTCTATGCTGTAGGGGAAGCATAGAAAGCTTGGCCATTAGAAAATAGGTCTCCATGCAATATGTTGTTTGCAACATGCATGAGTTTTGTTTATGTTACACTATTTTGGTTGCAAATAGATATGGACCAGTTTCTATGCGGCCAAGCCCGCATATGTAGAAATACAGCCCTATTAATAAATCGATTTTTAAGATGGATTTTTGGAATTAATTTTTAAGGATATGTAATCTCTAACATGGAGATCATGAATATGAAAAAATAAATAAATTTTAAAAAATTGAAATAATAATTCTAATAAAAAAACATTTGGACTGTTAGTTTCTATTGTTTATAGATGGAATACCTACGTGCATCCATCTTTAAGATGGATGCTTTACACTTTTTAGATTGCATATGAAGTCATGCAGTCCAGCCCGTATGAAACAATATCCTTGTTTTCAATGAGGTCGGCTACACGAATTCTGATCTGTCATTCTGCTCTCTTAATATGTAGTCATGCAGTCCAAACCGCATGAAACAATTTCCTTGTTTTTAATAAGGTCGGCTATTCGAATTATGATCCGTCATTATGCTCCATAGAAGGTTAATATAACCAATTCGATATAGAGAAAAACCTTTTCTCTCTTATGTATTGTCCTTTTTGCAACCAGGCATGTTTTTGAGGGAGTCCTTTCACTCTCCTAGATATTGCAATTGACCGTGTCTATGGAGAGAAAGTCCACAACTCCCCAAAGATTGGTATTCTATTAAATATTTCAATTACAAAATAAAATTCCTAAGCCTTTGTGGAAAGTTGGTGTATGAGAAGTGAAACACCACTATCATGGGGTGGTGGGCCGTACTATATAGACAACATATGGCCTACAAGAAATCTGGGGGACAATGGAAATGGAAAAGGTATTTATGGAAAAGCAAAGCTTTAAAATAAATCAAAAGATTAATGCTCTGGTGGGAGCAAAATGTACATTTGATCCCTTCGGCAACATCTTAACTAGGACTCTCCCTAATTTTTGGGGA